CAGCAGGAAGTGTCATGTCCCACCCCTTTCCTTCTCTGAACATTTTATCATCCTGTGAGCCTGCTCCAGGCATTCAAGAAAATGCCTTTTCTATCTTCAGATTCCTGGCATATTTCTTTTCTAATAGGCATAGATGGAGGAGTGGAGGTGGAAATAGCTCTCAGACTGCAGGGACCCCAGAGTCTTTGCAATTGAAAACTCTTTTCCCACAGACTCGAATGGCCCCCGTGAGTTAAACCTGACCATCTGCCATCTAAGCCAGCTTGTGCAAGTGCCATGAGACTCAAACAGAAGGCTGCAGATTAGAGCATTTACAGGGAAGACAAGGCAGCAAGAAGATGCAAAGGAAGTGCCAGCCATATTAAAGCAGAATATTTCCCCAAACCTTCTTCTTTATTGATTTACTTATTTTAAACTTTCACTCTGTTTCTGCAAGCATTTTAGTACCTGACACTGTTTAGCAAGGCGACCCAGAGCCTGCATTCCACCGCAGATCAGCTAACAGATGGTCTGCCAGAGATAAACCAGGCAACCTTGTCACTGGACCAAAGGAGCTGTTTTCACAGTCTTAGAAGATCTTACCGATGAAATTACCGCTGTCCAGTCACCCCAGCAGCAAGCAAAACCCTATGCTAACCTGTGGGCATTTCCATTATAAGTGCCATCATGGCACTTAACAGTTCTCCTATTTTATGTTGCAATGAGCTAACACTTGGCAGGCAAACATGAGATAAAAGATCCATTTAAACTAGAAAATACTGATAACAATAATTCGTCTTCATCTGAAGTATAGCCTATATCTACAACAGGTTAAGTCCCAGAGTTCTTTATTTTGTAGAGGAAATTTCAAATCCACCAGTCTAAACTTGACTTGGTTTCTCTTCCTAGCATCTCCTATTATAGCTCTCAACAGGCATCTGTTTTGAGATTAGGGCTCCATGTTACCCATATCTCCATGTGACTCGCAATGCCACAACTATTTGTATCAGAGTAGGCGACTGCCACGCAGTTTAAAACTTCACTGCAGGATGTGCCTGAAAGAAGAGCTGGACTCAAGAAGAACAAGCTCCTGTTATTACACATACAATTAACGGTACATGAGCATTTAACCAACTAAGATGTATAACAAAAGAAACACACATGTGGGCTATTAGCCCCCACACTGAGGGACACTCAATGAGGGAAGAAACTAATGTTCTCAGGTAAGTATTTAATATGACAATTCAGTGCTATAAAAGGGATAGTGCATCGGATTTTTTTTCTTAGCTCAAACAAGGCCTGCCCTCATACCAGCCCTCAGTTATCTGATCTGCCCACTTTGTGTCATCTCAGTCCATGTACCAGGAATGAGAATCTCCAGGGAAAAGATGGAATCCAGAAAACTTCAGGCTCCAGGACCAGGTAACACCTCATTTGACTAACAATATGTCCAAGCTTAGGCCTCTGGGATTTTTCACCCCTCACTCACTTAAGACAGCCAGTCACCAAGAGAGACCTGCTCCAACTCATGATTTAATAACTCCAGGGTTTACCACGGACTAGAGTACAGCAAAACCAGAAATAAGACTTCTCCTGGTGTTTAATATGGAGAGACAGCCTTTTTCTTCAGGCTAGCCCAACCAGCTACTGCCTCTTAACTCACGGTAACCACAGATTCGAGTCCACCAAAGAAAACTAGCAGGACTGAGCATGCAGTAACACTAAAGCAAACCCCATGTGGCAACCTTCTGCAGCCCAAACCATTCCCTGTGCTCTCAACTCAGCATCAGAAAGTAGTAGCTGCACCTGCAGCAAGATCCACATATCCAGGACTTAAGCTGCTTATTTTGTATTTGCCTGAAGTAATCTGTGTCAGCCTCAAAAAAAAAAAAAAAAAAAAAAAGGAAGAGGGCTCCCTGAAAGGGTAATTCCAGATGACAACGTGCACAACCATAAGTTTATGCCAATCAAAAATGGACCAAAAGAGAGGAAACACAGACAGACTCCATTAGAAGAGGAGAATCAACTTACTGGTCGAGTTGCCTTGCATCTGGATGATACATTTGGATTCTTTGCTGGTCTCTCGAGAATTGAAGGGCCTGACCCGAACAGCCACCTTCACAGAAGCCCCCGACATCTTGATGTCCTGTAGTGAAGTGCTCAGAAATCAGAGGCAATGGTTTCGCTGCAGTTTGTTCCTTGTTGAAGCTGTCTAGAGAGAAAAGGAAAAGTGTCAGATTTTTCTCAGAAAACACTCAAGACAAACAGGAATTAGCAGGGAAGAAGAGTTCAAGTGAGAAGATTACCTCATTCACCCTACAACTAAAAAACACCTCTGAATTTTTAACTACAGAGATGGAGCTGGAATATTCATGTCAGTACCCCAGGCCACCTCCCTGCTTAACGCTTATGTCATCCAACACAGTGCTCTTGAAGCAAACAAATCAGCTAATCTGCATTTCTTCCCTCCTTCTCTAGGAAGAATGGATGCTAGCGTCACTGGGAATTGTGTCCTTGGGAAAATGAAGGTATGACTGTAGCATGCATTAGTTTCCCTCTAGCTAGCATAGATAATGGCAGGAAAGATGCAGCAGCACAGACTAACTACCACAACACATGCTCAGGGTCCCTGGAGTGCTTGTACTCTGGCTGCTGGTCCACACTACCATTTGCTTGCTGGTAGTGTAACCCAGGCTAGCCAGATTTAAGCTAGCACAGGTGTGCTAACATGCACTACAATCACACCTTCATTTGCTGTAGATAGGGGTGCATGGACAGAGATTTTTTGGGACGATACTGATGGCTGATTTTTAGCAAGCCATATCAGCCCATACAAATCCAATTCCAATGTGCAGCCTGGTAACGTGAAGAGAGAGCAGCGTCCGGCTAATAAGTCTGTTGTTGGGGAAGGGATGAGTAGATCGAGTCCCCCACAGTGAGGGAGGAAGTAGGGCTGGAGCACAGGGAGGCGCTGCACAGCTGGAGCAGGGCATGGCACGGAGCCAAAAGCAGCTTGTCCGGGGGTGGCACAGGGGACAGCTTCTGCCATTACACGTAGCCCAGGAGTGCACATGCCCCAAATCTGCGCGCAGGGTGCAGACGAGCTGCCACTGCGAGCTGGGGGTGGGGCAGGCACTGGGCTGGGGGCAGATGGCAACAGTGCTGGGAGGGGGACTATGGGGGAGGCTGCAGCCACCCCAAGATTCACCATAGCCCCCCTCCCAGCCCCGCTGCCCACCCTGAGAACAGCACTGCCCTGGTCCACCCCTCTGCCAGGAACAGCTCAGCACCATCCTGGCTCCAGTCTGCAGCGGCAGTCCGCCCACCCCCATGGACAGATCTGGGGGCATACGCCTCGATCTGCCCCACACCCTTTCCCTCACAACAGACTTACCAGCCAGACCCAGCTGCTCTGCACGCTGCTGGGCTGCGCTCCTGGCCCGTGAACTGCACTGCAGTTGTGCGCCAGCACAGGGCATTTATCAGCAACATTAAGCAGCCACATCAGCCAAAAAAAGCCAATTCCCAATACTGTCAATTTTCCTTATATCGGTGCCGATACGATATAGGACCGATGAATTGGTGCACCTCTAGTTGCGGAGGCAAATCCTCAACCATCTCTTGCACAGCATGTAATTCCAGAGAAAAGGGCTTTGTGTTTTCTGCCCGTTCAAGCCATGTCGCTGCCAAATGACTGAGTACTTCCGAGTTTTCAGAAAACAAAGCACTGGACCAGGAGCCAAGTCCATTCCAGATAAAACAGTACAGACCAGAGCTAGCACACTTCTGTGCACATCCTCCTTTGTCTACTCCCCGCTAACAGGTAGAGTCCTAACTCTTTCTGCCAAAACAGCAGCTGTGCTAGCCAGTGCTCCACAAGTGAGGGTATGTTGGCCAGAGCACCTGCAAATTGCTCTCATAGTTAACTAAAATCTGCCTCTTTGATAAAGCTTTTATTCCAGGTTATGACCATAATTCTAAATGCCTGAAAAAAAATGGACTGGGAAGAAGAAAGTCGGTGTGCCAACTAAGATAGCAAATTCACCAGCTGGTAAAAATAGCTTCAACATGCCTCATTCAAGCTATGACACATTTTCACATGGCACAAGAAGGTATCATTAAAACCACATCTTTTCAGTTCCACTAATGGCAGAGGATGATAGCACATCACATGGTATGAGAGAAGGTTATATCATCCCATAGAATAGGGCAAGTTATTTAATGAGGTACTCCTCTCATCAGATTATCAATGTGCCTAACCAGATGACTGGTACAATTTTAGGTGCCTACAGAAACCAGAACTGTAGAACTGACTAATAGCATAACTCACATGGAGGGATGATTTGTCACAGAAACAGCCAAAGCCAAGCTCTCAGTTATTGGCAACACAGATCACATTCCCCAGTTAGCTGGTCACTATAGTTTTAACACTCCCAAACATCTCTTGCATGACAGGAAGTAGCGAACATAGGACTTCATGTCACCATGATATTCCCTGGGCCTCAACTAACTGGATTTTCTCCTCTTTTTTTCACCTCTATTCCCACCTATTATAATTTGACCCCCATACGTACCCATTTCCTGCCAACAAATCTACATGACAGCAAACTAGCAGAATAACATCGTATCAAGGTTCTTCAAGTGAAACTGAATGTTACAGCAATTCACCAAAGTGATCACAACATCCCACTTAGGTAAAATATTCTGCACTTTGCACAACTGGCCACAGATAAATTAGCAAGCGATAGGATTTGTGTGGTCAGACAGAGGAGAAAGGGGATTACAGGAATGTTCATAGGATATATTTGTAGAGGGCAAAACTAGAAACCAAACTGCACAGAGCTGACAGAAAGCTGATTTCCAGCAAATGGCTACCAGACATTTGTTGAGTGGCTCTCTTCTTTCTACTGTCTAGCTAACCTGACCAGGAATAGTATATGCTTTTAACACTTAAGAAACTAGCTACAATGGCTAATGAATCAGAAGTCTGTATCAGCTGAAATATATGTTTAAGAATAAATGCCTCCTAAACTTCAGAAGGTGAGAAATTTCATGGGCATGCTTAGTTTGCATTACTGCTCATTTTCCTTTCAATCTGTATAATATGGGTATAATATAGGACTGAATGACTATTTTCCTTTAATATCTTCATTAAAGTACCTCCCCGGACTGTATTAACCTACTTAATACAGTATTATTTAAATGTACTTAATCCAATCTTCTTTTACCGTACAGCTTGTACTGAAGTCTCATAACTGGAGCATCCATTTGTTGATACAGATGCGAGACCACCTTGCTTTCTTTTTAAGTCACAAATTTTTTCAAACTGTCCCAGGAACTTCAGAGCGACAGCCTTGCATAAGGCTATATTTTAGCAGGGAGTGGCATGCAGCAATTAGTTATTTCCAAATAACTAGGGACAAGGTAAAGCTAAGGAAAGCATATAGGGAAGTCAGGCATTGGGAGGGGTTCTATGATAAGCTACAGCAATATTTTCTTCCACGTTTATTACTGATTCATCAGCCTTGAAACAAGAACTAAAGCATACCAGTAAGTGGACTGAAGTTCTGTCCATCACCAAAGCTGTTTCTCCTCCTGTCACTGTGCTAATTTAAGTACTTTTGCATCTTTTACTTTAAGCTACTTTCACACAGAGGGATCTCCCTGTAGCGCCTCTCTTGCCAGTGAACACACAAATGACAAGAGTCTCTGTTACATCATCAGAAATCTCATCTTCAGTACAAAGACCAATGGATTCTTCACTTAAAGGGAGTTCAAACTTGGAAGCACTGGTTATAAAAACATACAACCCTGCTTCCTTAAAAAAGGTAAAGAAGAAAGACTTCAAAATGTTGTAGCTTGAACTTGACAGAGTGGGACGTGGCGTTCACAGAACAAGGACGGGATTAACATACATGCAGTGCCATTCATGTCCCTGCCACACTGGCCTGCTCTCCTCCCTTTGACACATCCCCAGGCATCCCAACAACAGAATGAAGCAGTGAAAGCTCCCAAAACCCTCCCTTGTACCAAACAGCAAAGGATTTTACTTTATTTGACCTTCTCTGCTCTATTCATTCTTTATATTGCATGAGTCTGATCTAGTGTTTCTCCCTCTCCAGTTCATACACCCCAGCAGGTAACTCTAGCAGAATGAAGGAAAAGAACTAACAGTTTCAATTTTACTTGAGTTGTCCTTAGTTATGTGCATTTGCAGTATGTAGTTGTCACAACCCGAAGTTGTGGTTTTTTTGTTTGTGTGTGCTTCGGCACCGCTAAATTATGTTCCCGCTAAATTGCAGCTCTTTTGCACGGTGGAGTGTTCTGTTGTAATAGAGAACCCGCGTGCAGGAGAGTATTTCCCGCCAGTTTTGTAGCCTTCTTTGCATGGTGCATTTCTTTTGCATTATGGTGATGTACGATGCAAAGGAGTTCCCGCCATTTGTATTAAGATTTCTGCCACATTACTGGCCAATCTTAATATAGGCACACGTGGCGGCTAGCTATTGGCTTGCTAGCCGTACAAAAGGCTTGGGTAGTTTCCGCCCAAGTCGGAGAGAGAGAAAGCACGTGGAGTTCGGGAAAAGAGCGTGAAGATCTCTAAGCGCTGCTGATCCCTTCGAACCCAGCTTTTTCCTTAAGAGGGCAACAGAGGTTTAATTTGCCAAACCCACGGAGCTTCAACAACTCCGGGGAACCTATTTAGCGAACCCTCGGAGCCTTAACAACTCCAGGGCCAATAACCTCTAGCCTCTCCCCGTCGTCGATCGCAACCCTAGACGTATCCCTATCCTATGGACCCAATTTTCGAACCCACGGAGTCTTAACAGCTCCGGGGGACCTGGGAACCGAACAAAACCCACGGAGATTCAGCTGCTCCGTGAGAGAGAATTGTTAAACCCGCGGAGCCTAAACCACTCCAGGGTCAAGGAACCGAGTCTATCAGAGTCCTCCAACGAGAACTCAAGTGGAGCTGTGCCTGGAAAGCTGACCAGCCTACACCGCGACCACCTTGGGTGTAAGTAAATAATCTTTTCAATCAACCATTACGCCTCCGTGACTGATTCTAGCTCGAGCGTACCATACCGCGCTGCAGTTTTCTCCGGCCCCGCGTGCCCGGGCTGCTGGCCATAGCCTGTGTGCACAAAGACGGGCCCGGCTCGCCCCCGAAATCGGGAGCCGGCCCGCACAGTAGTCAAGGACAAAAATGCTTCTGTTTTTTCTTTAAAACAAAGCATTTCACTTCCTGCTGGTGTCTGGACTAGAGACATCAATCTCTTTGCCCCAAAATCTAGTGTAAACATTGCTGAGTGTGCTTTACATGCTCCAAAACCTAACCTACCTAATACTCTATTATTTAAATAAATATTAGGAGTTCCCAATACTGACAGAAGCAATGCTGCAAACAACAAAAAAGAAATGAAAGAAATAGAAGAAACTAAAGGTGTCAGAATAGAGTTCACTGCCTTATATGAAACAGCATTTAAAGAACGGAAAGGAAGAACGAGGCCATATTTTGTTACAATCATCCACAATTAGAACACAAAAAACTAGGCACTTCTGCAAGATATGCTCTCCAATCCTCTCAAACAGCAATAGGGAAGTCTAATGACTTCTCTGTCCAGGGACCACTAGAAGGGAATCAAGCAATCCCAGTACAGTTTTCAATTACAAGTACCAAGACTTATTTTCATCCAGGCACTACATACACGTACAGTCAACTTTCGTCTCAGAGCTGCCCTACTCACCTGAAAAAAGCACAGGTTCAAATACTACAGGCTGAAATAGAGCCTATTCTAAAGACAGCGACCATAAAAAAAAGTGTATACACAACTGGGTCACTCACATTATAGAAAACTCAGCCCAGAGGACAAACTGAAGAGCTCCTTTTGGCAGAAGTTACCAAAGTTTTCAGACGCCATTTTTTTCCATGTAACTGCAGTTGCACTGCACCTCACATTTCACCTAATCCCAGCCCTGTGGCTTTTCCCAGCTAACATCCCACATTGCACTGCTGTTTTACAATGATATATGGATTCCAGACACGTTCTCTGCTGTCTCACAGCACAAGGTCACTTTCTGATAAATTGACATAGCATGTGACCCAAGACTCCATTCATTTTAAAACTTGCTGAAATCAGTCAGAGCTCGGCACTTAAATAGTGACTTCAATTGGATTTCAAAACACTCCGCAAAGATGCTATTATCTTCATCTCACAGACAGATAAACCGAGGCACCGCAGTTATTTGCCCAAAGTATCACAGCAGTCAGTGACAAAGGGAGAACAGACACAAGGGTCCTGTAGCTCCCAGGCCTATTGCCACTACTGCACATTGTCTCCTTACAGAGGAATTACAGGAAATGCCTCCTGTAAGACAATACTAGCTGCACTCTGCAGTCTTGGACAGAGGTTCATGAGAACAAGATCTAAATACTCATATGCTGCTCCTTATACTCCATATAGGTTTAGAAAGTTGCCAGTAAATTCATTCCAGGATGAATCATTTTCCTAGTGCCTTGGAAAGTTTTAGATGTCTATTATTAGGCATGTGTTCTGCATAAATTAAAAATGGAACAAAGAAGAATGAAGGACTGCATGATCTTAATGCTGAGTCTTATACATAACTAAGACGCACCATCTACCTCTAAAGCTTAAGGTAAGTAATACCTTGATAGCTAGCTATTCATCAGCACAAAAATGAATCCCTTCACGTTGAAGTGCTGCCTCACTTGTATTTACATGTTTTTAGCAATTATTAAAATCCACTGCTTCACCCAGTTTACACAGGTAAGCATGTCACTGATGAGTAAATTTTAAATGAATGTACTCGTAGAATTTGCCTATTCTTCATTATCTAAACTGCCTAAAAGATAAAACACACTAGTCCATTTCCCTTTGTGGATTTCAAGCATTAACTAAATGTGGGTTTAAAACAAACAGGAGCATTAATAATGTACTTTTCACTAAAATTTAAACTGTAACATCCCTACATATTTCCAGAGTTGGCAAAAAACAATGTTTATGAAAGATCCAGCTTTGTCATCTCAAACTAGTTGGCAACATCCCTATAAACAAGACTTCAAATATTTAAAGAGACTGTTTGCTGTTTATCAAAGTAATACCCATCATAGCACAAAGATTTAAGCTCTAGTTAATTCACATCAATTTCTCCTCTGCGGCAGAACATGCTGTTTTTCCTTTTTTTTCAAATGAAAAGCCAAGAGCAGAACACAGACCTGAGGAAAGCCATATTATAGACTTATCTGAGCAAGCAGATCCATGACTGGCCAAAATATATATATATATATATATATATATATATATATATATGAGAGAATAAAATAAGGCTTGATGTTCTTAACAGCTAGATCTCCACTGTTAAATGGAAAATTTAGTTAGGATCTCTATGCAAAATATGTATCGGACAAATTGTGACCTGTAGAATCACCCATGCTTAACTCAAGCCATAACACATTTGAATAGAAAGTAAGAGTGCTACATCTCTTAGCATCATAGAAAATGAGGCTTGGAAGGGACCTCAAGAGGTCATCTAGCGACTGTCCAACCCCCTGCTCAAAGCAGGGCCAGCCCTGGCTATCTCATCGCAGCCAAGGCTTTGTCTACCCACGGGTCTTAAAAACCTCCAAGGATGGAGATTCCACCACCTCTCTGGGTAACCTGTTCCAAAGCTTTCCTACGCTCCCAATGAGAAAGTTTTTCTTAATATCTAATCTAATCTAACCGAACCTAACCTAACCTATGGCTCCTTCCTTCCTTCTCATGTCCTTGTCGTGACAAGGTATTTAGCAGAATTCACAATCATCGGAATCTGACAGAGTCACGGAGTGAGCGCTTTTGCTATGGCCTCCAACTCACGACCTTTAGGCTATCCACAATGTGCCTTAGTGCCCGTGCCACCCCAGCCCCCGCCCTATGGATATGACTATCCTAGAATGTGCAGCCTTTTTTTAATTAAAAGCTGACTCCCAAATAACTGTAACCTGATCACTAAAAGATACCAGGGACAAGCCGTCACTAAAAGATAGCAGGGACAAGCAGAGAGATGACCACATGGAAAGTTAGCAGGGCAGCTGCTCCGAGCACTGAGGCCCCATGAAGAAGAGGACCCCGGGGAAGCCCATTTTAGGTACTTCGCCGGAGATCGCTCAGAACCGACGCTCTAAAACTGCAGCTCCAGCAATGGCTGCCAAGTGACAGGTTTTTTGATCGTACATTTCTTCTTATCCGAACAAAAGCTGCGACGCCGAACGCAAGCCTTTAGAGGCAGCGGCCGAGGCCTGCTCACGTCTGCGATTTGTCCGCCAGGCGAGAAAGCCGGAGGACAAAAACGCAGGACTAGAAACCATCTGAATTTCACCGAGGGCAGCAGGCGGGAAGCAGCACGGCTGTCGAGCCTGGGGAGGCTGCTGTGCCGAGGAGCATCCCCACCGCTCCCGAGCTGGATCCTGCTTTGATGGGCGGAGATGGATGAAGGGCACCCGGCTGGGCCCCGCATGCAGACCCCAGCCCTTGGGCTGCCGTCCCCCCGATGTAGCTCCTGAAGGATTGTCAGCTCATCCTCCCAACATGGCTGCCCTTTGCCGTGCGGAGCAGAATGGAGCAGGGGGCTGCAGCGCCCCAGGCCGGACCCTCCCCTCCCCCACCCCCAAGAGGCCCCGGGAAGGGGGGGGAGGGGAAGCGGCTCGTCTCCCCGCTCGGAGCCCCAGGGACGCGGCGGAGAGGCTGTGGCTCCCGGCCGGAGATGATGGGGGGACCCGCCCGGCCCCACCGCAATCCCGCCCCACCCTGCCCGGGCGCACCTGGCGGCGGCCACAGGCCGGGCGGG